ATTATCAGTACTCTTGATATACTTGCAGTTATGGGAGAAGGGGTCCTAAAAGGGCTTGCCTTCTTTTCTGTCTTCAGATGGCCGGGCCGGGTGTGGCAAGGGTTTGGAGGGGCCCGAGGTTTCCCACAATGCACTTGTGTAGTTGGGACCATGGGGTGGTGGCTCCATCTAGTGGTAAGGTAATGAATCCGGGTGCTCAGATGGGTTCTAGGTGACAGCAACATGGGGACCATGGACAGCAGTAAGTAGCCTTCCTAAATCACACACACACACAGTGGTATAGTTTCATGGCAAAGTAGGATCTGAAACCCTAGTATCTCTGGTTTAAGACACCTGTGCACATGTCTACACACAGATCTTCAACAGCAATGGCAGGCAAAAGATCTAATGTTAACTATCCAGTTAGAAATATACTCCCATCAATCAGCTTCTCTGGATCTTGCATGCTGCAGGAAATAGAAATGAAAGCTTGAAACCCCTCAGTAAATATAATCTACATGGGAAGCAAGAGCACCAATTTCAGTGGCTTTGACCTCCTTTGAAATCTCCTGGCTCTTGCAGCTTTTCTATTGGTTGATTAGAGAGTGCAGTCAAGCAAGCCATCCCAACCCTCATGGAGACAGGGCAGGAGTAATAGCATTTCTTCTCTCTCACTTTCATCTGTTTCCGCTCTCCAGTCCCTCATTGCATCTTAGGACATTTCCTTCATGTCTCCCATCTGCCCCTGTCTTTCCACGCTCATTACTAAGCATGCCTGGATTATTTCAGAAGGCTCACAGCAGATCGACTAGCTTGTCTAGCCCCTTCTCCATCCTGCTCTTCCTCTGCTCAGAAACCTTCCAGTAAAGCTCCCCAGCCTGCCGCTGTCCCAAGGCCCCCCAAAAGCCTTCCCAGCATGTGCTCCTGAGCTATCAGAGCGGGGCTCCCCAGCTCCTCACCTTCCCACTCCTTTAGGGTAGCCCACTCCTCATTTTTGTCCGTAGACCTCCAACCCAGGCCCCCAGAGCCTCCCTCCCCAAAGGCCCATCTGGCTGTCTGTGGAGATCTGCTGGCTTCCTGCAGCTCTCCCTTGGCACTGTGCACAGCTTTGTGCTGTTGTTTACTGGTTAGCTGTTTCTCCTGGGTCCCTCGTGGGTCCAGAGCTTGAGGGAAAGAAGCAAGGTATACCGTTTGTTTTTTTTATTTTTTGGCAGCTGGCTGGTACAGGAATCTGAACCCTTGACCTTGTTGTTATAACACCACATTTTTTTTTATTATTTTTTTGGCAGCTGGCTGGTACAGGAATCTGAACCCTTGACCTTGTTGTTATAACACCACACTCTAACCAACTGAGCTAACCGACTAGCCCCCTGTTCAGCATGTATTTCATGACTGCCATAAAGCCAACAACTTGGGGACAATCTGAGAGTAGAGTATTTAAATTGTGGGCAGATCCTTTGTTGTTGAGAACTAAGCTAGCAGTGTTCTCTACCTGGCTGCACATTAGACTCTCCTGGGGGACGTTAAACATTAAAAAAATGGAAAAAACCAAAACAAAACAAAAAAGCGCCTGATGGCCAGGCCTAGGGTGTCTGTCACAGTATGACCTAGACTGAGGGGTTTCCTGGAATCTGGGACTTTCAGTGCTAAAACTGGGATAGCCCAGGCCACATTCCCCAGGCTGAGTCAATCAGTCCCCAGAAGGGTTGCAGCTGTGCACAGGTATGGTTTTTTTTTTTAAACTTTCCCCAGGTAATTCTAATGTGTAGCCAAGGGCTGAAAACCACTGACCCCACTAAACACTCAGGCTTGTAATCCTCCATGTGCCTGAAGCTAGCAGTGAGAAAAAAGATCTACCCAGACTAAAGATATGAGAGGGGAGGTAAGTGAACTAGAGACATCCTTTGTTTATTTTTTACTCATTCCTCTTTTCAGGAGGTCAGGAATCTAACATCCTGGAGTATCAGCAGACAGTACTGTGAGATCCAGAGGGGAGTAAAGTAGGTGAGGGGAAGCAATAAACAGGCAATGTAATAGCTCCAAGCCCACGCACTGCAGTCCCAACCCAGCTTTTAAGCTCAGCAGAACAAACGCTGAACTTATATATTCAAACTCCTAAGTGCTTGCAGGCTCTCAGATGACACCAAATCTCTTGTCATGCTGCCTGCTTTTCTTTACTTTTCTAGGGGTTATCGGCAGCCTTGCAGGCCTACCCCCACAGACTCAAGTTCATGTCACGCAGTTCTTTCTGCAAGACTGCTGTGGACATTATTCTTACCCTTGGCTGTCGAAGGTAGTGTCCAGAAAGCAAGAGGGTCTCAATCTGTATGCTAAGTGACAGATGCAGCTGTATTGCCTGCTATGTAGGGCACCTTGCTCGGTTCAAATTTTGATGTTTCAAGAAAAATGTAAGAACGGGTGATTTCAAAAAGGCTTACAAGTTAACTCAATTACTTTTAGGCTGCACTTCCAGGAAGTGTCCAATTTTGCCTTTTTCACTCCACGGTTGGTAGAGTATTGTAGCCATAGCTTTATCTGTGTTGGGCAGAAAGTCATCTCTAGAGTAATGCGATGCTGTGTGTGTGTACAGCATTTCATGGTTAGGAAAATGCCTTCTTAGGCGCTCTGCATCGGTCCTCATAGCCTCAGGACGTAGGGGTCTCACTCACCTTCACAGGTACGGAATTCCAGGCTGAGCATTTGAAGAGCCTTGCCCAGTGGCTTTCACCTAGTAAGTGGGAGAGCCAGGACTTGGGACCATGGTTTTGTGACAGATAGGACTCTTCTGCCTGTTTGGATTCCAAACTAAATGTTACTTGCATCAGAGGCACCTCGGCTGGGATCACCGATCAGGAGGCAGAGAATGTGAGCGTTGACTCTTTTCCCCTGAGTAAGTATTGCCCCTCTGCAAGGTGTGCAGGTGTGTGCAGAAGCACGTTGCTAACGTGTCCTCCCTTCTCTCTGCCTCTCTCCAAGGCGGGGAACACGGCTCTGCACCTGGCCTGCCAGAACAGCCACTGCCAGAGCACACGCATCCTCCTGCTGGGCGGGTCCCGCGCCAACCTCAAAAATAATGTGGGTGAACAAAACCGGCTTCTCTCTTTTTCTCTCTCTTGTGACGCCTCAGAAAATAACCCCAAAGCATCCTTGAGTAGTAACTCTAGAAATTAAAATTTGAAAAGTGTTTGGGGACTATCTGCATTCATTTTTTGCTAATTTCCCAAGGGGTCATTTAGGGACCTTAGAAGAGGAATCAAAAGATTTGGAAATACAATCATGCATTGCATAAGGACATTTTGGTCAACGACAGACCGCATATATGACAGTGGTCACATAAGATTATAAGGGCTATCACTTTTAGCATAGGTGTGTAATTGGCTTGTGTAGATACACTCTGATGTTTGTACAACGTCAAAATCGCATAACGACGCATTTCTCAGAATGTATCCCATCGTTAAGCAACACATAACTGTACTGCTTTTCCCCTATCCTTTTCCCTTCGCTCCTCAACTTGTGATGTTTGTACAACGTCAAAATCGCATAACGACGCATTTCTCAGAATGTATCCCGTCGTTAAGCAACACATAACTGTACTGCTTTTCCCCTATCCTTTTCCCTTCGCTCCTCAACTTTAGTTCATTTTATCATTTCTTACAGCACGTGTCTGGCCAATGACAGTCTACGAAACCTGTAAATGTTTTAAGAAAGTCTCTGCCCATGTAGAGTGTCGTACTATTATTAGCAAATATGGGATGATGCCATACAGAGGAGGTTCTGTGATGCTCCACACCCAGCGTCTACAGAGGGCAGGTCCTATTGATTACTGAGGAGTCCTTGGGATGAGCGGATGGGACAACAGTTCTTAGAGTCTGACCTGAAAGTTTACATGAGTGTTCCTCCTCCCTCCACAAAGAAGCTGTATTTCTTCATAAATCTTAGCCACACTGGTGAGAGAATCTGAGGCTTCTCTCAAAAATGGCCTCTGCTGGGGGTCCCCCTGTTTGGGTACAGACTCATCTAAGGTGGTTCTAGAATGCTCTATACCTCAGCTTTGAGCCCGGCTCCTTCTTAATCCAGGAGAGGAAGTTATGCTGAGTGGCGACAGAGCTAGGATGAAAACACCAAGAGAGCGCTGCAGAACATCACGGCTTTCTGTCTCCAGTTCTGTTGCTGTCTCTGGAAGCAGAGTTCAGTCTGTGCCCACCAAGGAAGGTCCTGGTCCAGAGTTTTTCTGAATGCCCTTTTTTGCTCCCAGTGACTGCTTCCTCATCAGCTCCCCAGGCTACAATGCTCCATATAGGGTATTAGGGTCCTACTGCAATGGGATGCTCCTTGAATTTGGGGGACACATGTTTCTTAAAATTCAGCAGCTCACCCTGCTGCCTTGTCCTTTCAGCCATACTAAATCTATGCTGGGGAAGGCTTATTTCCAAAGCCATGCTGTTGGTCTTAATTCCATTTACTCCAGATCCTCTGGGAAGTAGGGGAGGCTGGGGTCAATGGATCCTTATAAGGTGCTGGATAAGCAGAGCCTCCCTTAGCTTTCCTGCAGGTCTTATGGGGAGCAGGCATCCAGTTTCATAAAGGTGGAATAAGAGACTCTGGGCGACCACAAGGTTATTCTGCACAGGTGAAAGCGAACAGGGCTGCAGACAGCAGCCACACCAGCAAAGGACCACTAGTCTTGGAATGGAGCATCGATGTTAAAGGAGATGCTTACAATTCAGTCAACATGCCCTAAAGAATAGACAAGAGTCTGCCAGCTTTTAAATGATGTTTTCATTTTATTTTTCTCTGTTTTGTTTTGTAACCTCTCAGACTGTGCTTAGAGTTTGATTTCTGTCCGCAGGCAGGCGACACCTGTTTGCACGTTGCTGCGCGCTATAATCACTTGTCCATCATTAGGCTCCTCCTCAGTGCTTTCTGTTCTGTCCATGAAAAGAACCAGGTCAGTGCATGTATCCTCTTCATGGCCGCCAGCACCTTCTCACAAGGCTACCTGACAGGTGTGTTAGTGCCAACAGGATCAGAGGCTGCTGGGAGGTGCCCTCTGACCTGCCTGGGATCCACCAGCGCTGGTCTTTGCATGAGTGTCCCATCGAGTTCCGGTGACCCTGGTTTATCTGACCTCCTAGAAAAAGCGTGCCCTTACCATTCCTGTGCGTATCACCACATTTGCATATTGAACATTTTCTGGAGATCCTAGGGTGGGTTTTGTTTTTAATAAGATTTGAAAAAGGAAATCCACAAGGAAGAGTGTGGCTTAGTAAAGAATAGAGAAGCAAGGGAATTAGGCGTCTTCTGGCTCCCTGACTTCTGTTCCTTGCACTGCCATTTACTTTAGTTTGAATTCATGGAGTCTCTCATTTCTGTAAAATTGGGTACATGATCTGTATCCACGCCATGTAATGGGGTTTTGAAATAAAGCTACGATCATTACACTCACTCTTGCATGGAAATGTGCAAGCTTTTCAGTAGTCATTTAGATTTAAAACATAGATTGTCTTGGTATTTACTGATATCTAAGTGATGCATTTTTGCTTTTCTGAGTTTGGCTCTTCTGAGTTTGGATGCATACATCTGAAATTTTTTAAAAAATTAGATGTGGTTCAGATTAAGTATACATTTTCCAGTGGTTTCTGACCGTGGCTGCATATGAGAATCAACAGAGGAATTAAAAATTCCATTCCTGGATCCCACCCCAGTTTGAAAGAGCCAGAACCCCAGGGGCGAGGTCCAGGCAGTGGTATTTTTAAAAAGCTCCCTGAATGTGCAGCCAGGGTTGAGAACCACTAACCTAATAAAGTAGCTAAGCCTGTCATTCTAAAACCTCCCCAGTGGGTTCTATTTCATCAGAACTCTTAGTCCTGTACAGCCCCCACCAACCAGTGCTTCTCACCTTTGGCAGCATGTTACAATCACCTGGAGCCCAACCCACACAGCAAACCAATGAACTCAGAATATCTGTGAGTGGCACCCAGGCAGCAGTAGTTTTTAAAGCTCCTCAGCTGTTTCCATTATGCAGCCAAGAGTGGAAACCACTGCTATATAGCTTCCTACACACACACACACACACACACACACACACACACACACACACACTCTCTCTCTCTCTCTCTCTCTCTCTCTCTCTCTCTCTAGCTGTTTCCATTATGCAGCCAAGAGTGGAAACCACTGCTATATAGCTTCCTACACACACACACACACACACACACACACACACACACACACACACGTGCACTTGACTGAAATGAACTAAACACTTTTCCTGCTACTCATAGAGATGGCTGAATTTTCATGCTGCCCAGGAAAAAATGTATCAGGGCTCTTTGCCTGATCACCTGACAGGGGAGAGAATGAATTATTTCACTTCTCCTGTATTTGTCTGGTTTACTTATATCATTCTGTTTTGAAAATGACAGCATTTGCATTTGAAGTTGGCCCACTAAGCTGTAGTTTTGTCCTCCTTTAATAGTTGATTGTATGAAAACATATTTTTTGTATAGAGAAAATGCGAAAACTTATTTATAGACTACATGGTAAAAGGCAGAAAACAGTTGGTCGTAAGTGAACACTGATTCTCAGTGTCACCAACCAAATCAAGAACACCCTGAGCCTGCAGATAGAGTGAGTCCCCGTGGCCCCTGCAGATCCGGGGGAGGGGCTGAGGGCTCGGCTGTCACCCTCCAATGCTTGCTGCAGTCCCGTCTTCACAGCTGCTCCTGCTCAACCCACTCTCTGACCTCTGGCCTCCCTGGGCAGAAGAACGGGGTCCAGAGGTCTGGGATGACTAGCCCGCCAACCCCAGCCTTCCTGCCCATCATCCTGCCTCCATGAGGCTTTGGGTCCCACCATTCTCAACAACCCCAGTCCAGCATTATTTTGCCCTGGCATTTAGTCGAGTTCTGTGACTTCTGATATCCCTGCACAGAAAGGAATGTGATATCGGTGCATAGGTCATTCAGTTCCAAGATCTCTTTAAACAGAACTGTGTAACACGTTAAGGAAGGGCCCCATTATCAGCCTAAGGCAAATCTTAGCTTGACTTTGAAGAGCCACCCTAGGCCAGGGGATGAAAAGCTGGAGGGCTGAAGGCCATGAGCAGATGGGGTTCAGCAGGCTCTCTTCTGATTAATTTCAGGCTGGAGACACAGCACTTCATATTGCTGCTGCCCTAAATCACAAGAAGGTGGTTAAAATCTTACTGGAAGCTGGAGCAGATGGGACCATTGTTAACAATGTAAGTGAGGATAGGGTGTGTTGTTACTACCTACACCCCCGCAGTCTCCGAGGGCCCAGCTGCACTCTGAAGAGTGTGGAGCTGAAGCCACAGCCCCTGGGGCCCTCGGGGTGGACTTGTGGGGACCCCTGCTCTGAGCAACCCGGCTTGAGTTAACAAGCCCTGAGGACCCACTTTTAAACTCCCAGCTGCGTGAACACAACCTGGTATGAAAAGGAAGCTTGGAGCTATCTAAGTAACTGGCAAGTGGATGTTAACAAAAGTGGGTTCCAAGCTTGTCCATGCTTGCCGTCCTTAGAAAAATGGCCACATGGCCATCAGATTAATCAGCCTAAAACTCTAACTCCTTCCTCTCCAAAATCATCCCACCTCACTCCTCCCTTCTCTCCTGTCAATCTCTCTCCCCCTCCCATCTTATTCTCTGCCCATCCTCCCTCCCCAGGTCCTATAGCAGACACCAGCTTAGGCACCCTTTCTTCCCGGAAGCTGACCTGCGGCCTGTGCCCTTCTGCGAGGCTCAGGGGGTGGAACAGCTGTGTGGATTCTGGGGCGTCAGGGAGTCAAAGCTGCAAAAGGCTCCTGTTCTCCCAAGTCTAGTCCCCTTCCTCCTCTCGCCTTCTCATAGCCCTGGAACCTGTGCTGGGTGGCACAGTTGCCCCTTCCATGACACCCTGACAACCTTCCCCTTCCTTTCAAATCCTGCTGTTGTCAGCTCTTTGTTCTTGGCTTAAGCTTAACCTCCTTAAAACCTACATTATGGCCACAGCTTTGTAATAATTTCTCCCAGTCCAGTTCCTGAGACTCTATGGCCAGGCCCCTGATCTGGCCCTCCAGATGTTTTCCCTCCTGTTCTCCAGGAAAAGTACATTGCTAGTCTGGATTTTATGATCCTTTGTACTGTTTCAACTGGAATGTTCCACTTTGATCCTGTCTAGGTTTTTTGTTTGTTTGTTTGTTTGTTTAAAGATGACCGGTAAGGGGATCTTAGCCCTTGACTTGGTGTTGTCAGCACCACGCTCTCCCAAGTGAGTCATGGGCCAGCCCTTCCTGTCTGGTTTTTACCTTCCTTTCTTTCTTTCCCAGGAACCTCTCTGGTGGGCAGTGCACCAGGCCTCTGCCTCCCAACACACTTACTGCTCTCTGGGTCGGCACTTGCCCTCTGTTGTGTGTATTTTAATTAGCATGTCCTCTGGAGCATGACTGGCTCCCTCATTGGATGGTGTGAGGCTGAAGAGAGGGGCCACATCATATGCTGTATTGTGGCTGTATTTTGCTGAGCACACAATGTATTTTAATTAGCATGTCCTCTGGAGCATGACTGGCTCCCTCATTGGATGGTATGAGGCTGAAGAGAGGGGCCACATCATATGCTGTATTGTGGCTGTATTTTGCTGAGCACACACAGGGGCTGAGTGTGGAATTGTCTGCTCCCGACGCGAGTTGTGCTGGCTAGGCTCTGAGCGTGCAGGGCTGGTGTCCCTTCCTCACCTGTCCTCCCTGTGTCTTTAATCAGGCAGGCCAGACACCACTGGAGACTGCCCGCCACCACAATAATCCAGAAGTTGCTCTGCTCCTCACTAAAGCTCCGCAGGTAGGATTTACTGCACTTTCCATCATATTGTTTATGTGGGGCTGAAAGTCTTTTGGGACACCTCTGATTGCAATCTCCTAAAGCCAATTTAAACTAACTTAGGTAGAGAATTGATGGGCTTATTAGCCAGGCAATGAGAAATGTGGGAATCCATGTGGGCCTCCAGGATGACTAGAGCCAAAGATTTCCAGTCCAGCTCCTCACACACAGACATCATTTTCTCCCTGAGGCTACGTCATTGTCACAACCAGCTTCCTGGAGCCTAACTTCCCAGCTACTCAGCCAGGGAAGGAATTCCAATTTAAAACATTGCAGAAGAGAACCATGATTGAAGAGCTTGGGGCAAATGCCCTCTCCTGAACAAGTGGGACAAGGGCTTTAAGAAGAGAAGGGGTATTTCCAGAGAAAGGTAGGAGGGAGGGGACCATTCTGGGCAGACAGAGCAGTAAACGTCCACCAGAGGCAGCTAAGTACAGTATAGTTTTCTTTCCTTTTTTTTCGAATAACGATGTTCAATAAATTTAAAT